TTTTAAGAATTTTACTTTGAGAGTGCTTGATGGCTCAGTTGGTTAAGCAACCAACTCTTGATGTAGGTTCGGGTCATCATCTCATGGTTTGTTAGTTCAAGCCCCACATTGGGCTCTGCACTGACAGCATTGAGTCTCCTTGAGATTCTTTATCTCCCTCTCTCTCTGCCTCTCTTTCTTCTCTCTCTCTCTAAAATAAAAATAAACATTAAAAAAGAATTTTACTTTTGAGAAAGTGGGAAGGAGAAATTGATGCTTACACATACACACACACACACACACACACACACACACACACACACACACAGAGTCTTCTAGGGTTTTACCTGAGAAATAAGGGTAGCTTAATTTCATTTCATTTCAGAAGATCTCCACAAACATGTGAGGAATGCATGATCTATTGGTTATGTTTCCTGAAACACATGGAAGTCTCTATGACCACCCCTAAGGTGCATTATGTTTTGGGGAAGAAAGCAAGTTAATACCTGGTTCTACAAAGAAAATACAGTAACAATAGTACACACAATTCCACCTGGAAGAAAATATTGATAATTGCTGGATACCTCCAAGCAAGGTCTATATCAATCAGGGGCAGTTGATAGTGCCTCTAATGTGTCTCTTCAGTCAAATGGTAAACTTCACAGCTCCCATTTCAGACAAAATGACTGAGTCTACTTCTTGTTTATGGAATGACTGCCTGAGAGCTTTCAATCTGTCCTGTTTGTCCCTATTATAGACATATGGCTCTCTTCCTCTCTATAGAATATCAGTGGGATGACAATGGAAATAAGGGTAAGAAATACAAATAGAGGTTCTGACAAGTATTTCACATGGAATGTACACAATCTGTGGCCATCTATTATTGTTTCCAATGATTAACGAAAATAATTATCAATTCTTATCAGAGTCAATATGTTTGGACATGGCAGACCCAAGAGTCAGTTACATTTAAGGATCCAACTTTGGTTTGGGAGAATTGCTCTAGGATGTTTTCCTTTGTGGGTAAGATTCCAGGGATCATTAATTCCCTCTCACTCTTCTGTATCTCCAGGACATGTTCCCTTTCCAGGTCCTAGAACTGTTGCTCTTCTATTGTCTCCAAATCTGTATGTCCTATTCTAGTAGCTAGTTTTACCTATTTTTAATCAGCACCTACTGGAAACCAGTTCTTCCATCTGAAAACATCAATGTATAAGGAAAAGTGGAATTGTTACAAAAGGTACAGACAGGTATTTGTCCTTTTCTTTGTAGGCCAGTGTACGGAATTCTTGGCAATTAGTGTACTTATATAAGTGTTCATTTTCCTTATGATTTATTATTACATCAACCCATCAAGAGAATACAAGCAGATGAAAAAAAAAATTGTTTGCCATCCTGTAGCTGCCTTACCAAGGTCTTTGGACTGGGAGGAGGGGATGAGAGATAGAATTATAAATTATTTGAATGGATTTAGAGGAGGATATTTCAATACTAAATTATACCAAATGCCTGTGGATATTAGGGTGTGGGGAAAGTCTACTGAAAACATTATCAGTCATTGAGGGTTTTTTTTCTTTTTTGAAAAAAAAAGGGTGCATCATTATCACATGGAAAATTGTCCAGCTGAACACATAACACAGTTTAGTTCCAAGAGCCATAATTATATGGTCCAAATCAGCTGATCACACTGGAACAGGAGCACCATAATGTGAAAAAGTACCAATATTGTTGTGTTCCTACCAAATAGTCTTGACAGTGGTTGAAGTTCTGGTGTAGTCAGTATGTCAAGAGTGAGCAGGAGCCATATTCTGCCCCATATTGGTCATGCGACCAAAGGGCCAGCTTTTGGCAGGAGTCACAAATCTGGCACATAGTGCTTGATTCTGCATCAGAACACTGATTTGTTTACTTTGTGCTCAGTCAATAGTGGTTCAGTTGTCATATCTGGTATAATTATGAATATAGGCAGCAGTGCTAATAATCTGGGTGATGAAATATCTTAATCAGACCCTGACTTCATTGGGTCTCTTCAGCTAAAAGACCCTTACTGTGTGCATCTTATGTGAATAATCTAGAGTCTGATTAGTAGCCATGATTAGTAGCCATGTGGAAACAAATCATGTACATTTCCCTAGAGAGGTGTCTTTAATTTTGTAGTTTTGCAATCAGGAGACAAAATAAGAACTCAATCTCTTGAGTCTTAGCTCAAGAGCCAGTGAAACTATAACAAATTTAATCAAGGGGAGTATTGGCCAGAGACATGCCCATAGCCTTGTGTTCAGCCCAATAAACAGAGAGAGCATGCCATTGGCAGTTCTGGATAGCTGATGGTGAGATACAACAGCTGCCATAGCCCAGTGGGTACTGTCAGGTTTCACCACATCCAAAGCATCAGTGAACCAGGCCAGGTATTTGGGGGAAGCTCTGTGAATTGTGGACCCCACTGAGCCAGTAACTTTGCTTCAGTCAATGGAGTAGAAAACGAAGTTTTCCCTAATGAGATAGTTGTCACTTTTTCATATAAAACTAAAGAGCTACCTGGGCCAAATCACCTGTGTTCTTGACTATAAGTTTTCCATTTCACTAGTTAGCTTTCTGGGCACTATCTTCTTTGTTAATCATTGAATCTGAGTTGATCCACAACCAAATAGGAATATTTGGTTTGGAAGTCACAAGACCTTCAAAGTTCATGTGTTCAGTTTATACAAGAGTTTAATAATAAGCAAATAGCTGCTTTTGAAAATAAATGTGGCCTGGTAGCTAGTCCCAGGAGAAAATGAGTGCAAATCCCTAAGACTGCATCTCATTGCCAGAGGTTCCAGTGTTCAAAATCATCAGTCACAAAGGCTCAAACTTCAAAGGATTATAAGAATAGGAGGGCCCAGTGTTCTTAGCACTTCTCTGTTCGTTTTGTTTTGCTGTTTTTTTCCCCATTAGGGGAATCCCTTTCTGGTACTTATGGGAAGAGGAAGTGGAAGCATTTAACACATTGATTCCGACTACATATTCAGGTGTAAAAGCAATGACACATGGAGCACCAGGGTGGCTCAGTGGGTTAACCATCTGACTCTTGGTTTTGGCTTAGGTCATGATCTCGCAGGTCATGCCCTGCATTGGGCTCTGTGCTGACAATGCTTGGGATTTTCTCTCTCTCTCTCTCTCTCTCTCTCTCTCTCTCTCCCCTCGCATACTCCTCTCTCTCTCTCAAAATATGTAAATAAACTTCAAAAAAATAAATAAAAGCAATGACAACAGTTATACAGAACCGACTATAGAAGTTCTGGTTATATCTTCCATGAGCAAAAGCATGTATTTTCTTCTTTTGGGCAGATAGAGTGAAGGGCCAATCATCTCAATAAAATAGGGGATTGAATGGATGGGGGATGGTTTATACGTATAGTTAAACTCAGGGCACTTCTGCTTCACTCCAGTTCCGCAGGTAGGTTCTGCTATGATCTGAATGTTTGTCTCTTACATTCATATGTTAAAAACTTACCACCCATGGTAATGTCATTAAAAGGTGGGTTTTCTTTGGGAGGTGGTTAGGTCACAAGGGTGGACCCTTCATGAACAGGATTAGTGCACTTACAAAAGAGATCACAGATAGCTAGTTTGCCTCTTCCACTATATGAGGACACAGCAAGAAGCTAGCAGTCTGAAAGCTAGAAGAGGGTTTTCACCAGAACCTGGCCATGCTGGTACTCTTATCTGGGACCGCCAGATTCCAGAACTGTGAGAAATAAGTTTTTGTTGTTTATAAGCCACTCACTCTGTGCTTTTTGTCATCATAGCTCAAATGTACTAAAATGGGCTCCTTTCAAACTTTTAATTGAGCCTAAGTTTCCCTTTCCTCAACCCTGACAGTTCTTTCCTCCAGAAATTTTGAGATGGATTTTTAACCTCATTCCAAGCATATTAACAATTTGCTGAATGAGTTTAGGGGAGATGAACTAAGAGTATGATGGAAGCAACACACCATGAGCTCTAACTCATCATCAAAAGTGATTTAGTTTCTGCCTTTTTTGCCAGATTCTTTCACTCTTACAGCCTACAGCAGTTAACAATTCAACTTCCCTGAGGCCACCAAATTGAAGAAGCCCAAACTATTCGATAGGGATTATATAGATAAGCCTGGGACCATATGGACAGAGACAGAGGACAGATAGCCCTCAGTATTCCATTCCTCTACTATTCCAGCTCTAGTCATATCCAAATGCAACCATTTCAGAGACTCTAAGCCAGAATCATCCAGCTAATATTTCCTGGCATTCTTATCCCAAAGAAACTCTAAGAGAAAATAAATGTTGTTTTAAGTCAAAGTTTAAGCCTAAATTTTGAAGTGATCTTTTCCAGAGAAATGCTTAACTGGAATATCTAGTCTCCAGTCTGTGATGCCAACAGAATAAGATGGTCAAAATATCTGCTGTTTCTTTAGTCCCGTATAAAGTTTGTCTACCAGGGCCAATAGAAACACAACTTACGCCAAGATCTGGCAAATTCCCAGAGGGAATTAAGTAGCTGGCAATCATTAAATCATTTTAAAAGGCTTTTTTTCTCTGGAATTTTAGTGCATCTGGTCTTTGTCAGTTGGTCTCTGATATATTTAAAAATACACTTATTTATTCATTTGTTTGTTTGTTTGCAGTTTATTCTTTTATTTTCTAGCAACCACAGAGGGATTCTTGGCCTGCTGATACACAATCCATTCTGTTCCCATTCTGTTTAAAGGCAAATAACCCCCTTCACTCACTATACCTATTTCCAGCTAAGTTTTATCATTGCATCTGTCACTATTTAGAACACACACACACACACATACACACACACACACAGATATTTTGTTCAGTTTGTTATAATACTTATATACTAATCAGTATAGAATCTAGGATTTTCTAAGTCCAAAACAAAGTTATAAATATGCTATTTCTTAACTTGAATAATGGATAATTTATGTATTTTTTCTAAATTTCATCATTTCTGAGTATTATAAAACTAGATAGTAAAGGCAATCATACCCAAAGCAAAACAGATGCCTTCTGAAAAAGCTGCCCTCCTTCTCAATGGTCCAGATTAGAACACAGAACCACATACAGACCAACCACCACAGTACATCTGGGATGTAGTAATTGATATAAGCCAGGTAAGGCTCACTCCTGTATTGGGGGCAGGATGATCACTAAGAATTTTGAGGTTCTGTTAGGAACGGGGAGGGAATATACTAGTTAGTATTCTTAACACTAAACAATATAAAATGATTTCTGTAATTTCTGCTAAAAAATATTGAACAGCTATCAGAGGGCCCATTGTATATACTATCTAGCTAACCATATGTAGAAATGGAATAGGGTACAAATTAAAGAAATACGAGAAATCCAGTCTCTTTGGTATGACTCCACCCACTAGAAATTGGCTGCCATGCCACAGGATCTAGACATTCCAGAATACTCACCATTGCATTGCTTTTCTATTGCTTCCTAGGTTCCTATTCATTCCAAAACACTGTTTCTGAGAAGAAGCGCAGTGTCCTTATTTAGTATTCCATATTTGAAAGCCAGACCCCATATCCAACTTTTCCTGGATTTACCTAAAATATTCAGATGGCACATAGTGAAAGAATAACATAAATAGAAGAAGATAAAACAGAAACAAACATCCATGTTATTTCTTCCACTTTTCTGTGCAATGCTAGTCATACACTTTCATTTACCAACGTAGATAAAGTACAGTTCAGGGTTCTCAAGCACATTATTACATTAAAAGTCAAATTCAGTTGTGTTCCAGACCTGCATGGCCATGGCTACATTGTATCTATTAACAAATTAAAACAACTAAAATGTATAATCTTCCAGTTCTATATGTCAAAAATAGGCCGTGGGTCTCACCAAGCCCGGGTCAAGCCGTGGTCCTGCTACACTCCTTGCTGGAGGCTCTAGTCACAGCCAGTAGCTATGACTTTTTTTTTTCTGTGGTTCTACATTTCTGTCTGGTTGACTACATCAGGAGTTTTTCCCATTTTGATTATACGGAGTCCATTTTAACAATCCGGGATAATCTGAACCTGATTACACCTGAACCCTAATTACACCTCCAAAGTCTCTCCTGCCGCATAGAGTAACATATTGGGTAACATATTCACAGAATCTGTGGACAGTGGTGGTTCCTTCCTTCCTTCCTTCCTTCCTTCCTTCCTTCCTTCCTTCCTTCCTTCCTTCCTTCCTCCTTCCTTCCTTCCTTCCTTCCTTCCTTCCTTCCTTCCTTCCTTCTCTCCTTCCTCCCTCTCTCCAGTGGAGTACCTGGTTTATTGTGACGTAGGTGAATCCCAGAATTCCAGCACAGCCATAGATTGTGAAACGAAGGTGTGGGTTTCTGGGTGTCTGGGTCTGGGCTAAAATTTCACCGTGTAAATCCGGAAGGCCTCGACCTGTGTGGACGCTGCTGTGCTGCTTCCAGCACCTTGAAAGCCCAACACCTGTGCCGGGCTTGCGCCTGCTCCTACTACTTGTGCGCCGCCACGCAGGTGAGTATCAGGGTCATCTGGAGGTCACAGGCCCACTGGGGCTTGCCCCTCATTCGCCCGCTCCGCGCGGCCCCTCTTGCCCTCTTCCGTGCGCTGCACTTGGCCGCTGGCGACGTCGCACGGCTCACCAGGGGAAACAGGTCAGTCTCCAGCCAGGTGCTGCCCCAACTGTGCAGATAGGCCAGGTCAGTGTAGACCGAGGGCAGGGGAAGAGGGAGGGAGTCGGCTGCTGGCTGACTCAGATGGGCTTCGAGCTGCGTCTGGGGGTTGAGGACTTTCTGTACAGGGGCACCCTTGGAACTGGCCTCGCCCCGGGCGCTGAGTTGCAGACTGAGCTGCCTGGCTCTCAAATAGCTTGCCTCCTTGGTATTGACAGCCGTCCAAATAGGCGGCAGTACTGGCGTAGGGGCGAACCCGGGACTTCTGCGAGCTGCCTAGGCCCTCTGACAGCTGGGGGCTGGAGGTTGGGAGCAGCAAAGGGGGGGGGGTCCACCATGCACAGGCTGGGAGGAGTGGGCAACGGTGGGAGAAACTGGCAGCGAGTCTTGGCAAAGAACCCCGAAATCCTTCGTATCTTCCTCTGAGTTCGTGGTGTCAGAGAACCGTGGGTAGGGACTCGCCGCCAGAGCACTACCCTGCCCCTGCCCTTGGAGCCGCCGGGGATAGGGGAGTCGGTACCCTGGGTACAGCCATGCGGTGACCACTCGCGGTAGGCCCTCGCGTTTCGGGGAGGCGGGGCACCGCGCGCGGGCCGCGCGGCGCGAGCTTCAGCCGGTGCCCTTCAGCGGTGGTGACGCGGCGGTTCTGCGGCGCAGCGCTCTGCCGCAGCGCAGGCTCCAAGGAGGCAGAAGTGACTCCATCCCTGCCCGTGCGGAGAGCCCACCCCTGTAGGCAACCGCGGGAGTGACGTCCCGCCTGGCCTCCTGGCCGCGCTGTGGGCTCAGCAAAAGCCGCCCTCTGCCTTTATCTGGCCTGTGGATTCGAGAGCCAGAGCCACTGGTGGCCTACAGCAGCTCCAGTGTTTTCTCCTCCAGACCTTTGCTGTCTGCCCCTAGGCCGCACCCCAGCCCCAGCGTACTCTTCCGGCTGGGCGGGCCACCATCTAGGGGACTGGGGAGCTGCCGAGCTGTTCCCTCTACCAGAAGCTGGAACTTGGTGGGGGCTACTGGGTGCTTCCCTGTGGATGGGACACCCGGGCCGGGTGTGCTGGTCACTCTGCTGGGCCTGAAGGCTGCCTGGAGACCCGCCTTCTTAACATCGACCACAACGGAGGCTGCCCTGTGTATCTCCTGGGGCAGTCGGAGAGGGTGCCCCGTTTACTTGCGAGGGACCCTGGCTGCTTTTTTCAGGCCTGTGAGAGCTTTGGTTGTGGCGGGTCATTCAGGGCACCATGGAGTGCTCCTGGGCAGGCCTGAAGGGTGCCATCATTGGGCCATTTCTTCCTCAAGCTGCCCAGGGAGCTCATGCTTTCCTTACTTTCAGCTTGCTGAGGTCCTTGCTAGGTCCTGGGGGTCACCACATTCTCTGCAAGAATCCTGAGTTCTGCAGGAGGCCAGGCCTTCCAGGAGGAGGGTGGGTGGAGTGCAGCCAGGGAACAACACCTTTCTCGATGGGGCCATGGGGTGTCATACCAGCCAAGGCTCCAAGAAGCCAGGGTGTGGTTAGTGCAGGCCAAGGGGGCAGCTAGCCCATCCATGACTGTCCTCTGGAAGAATTTGGTAGGATTGGTTGGCGACAGCCAGTGGCTCACGGCCAGCTCAGCCTAGAGCTCATAGCACACCAGCTGTGAGGCATGCAGGAATTGAGAAGCAGGACACCCAGGGTGAGTGAGATGAGTATATAAAGCCTCACCAATGGCCACTTTATCCTGCTAACACAGCTTTCCTAATGGGGGATCATTGAGGCCAGGGAAGCTGCTCAAGTGGGTCACTAAGATGGCTCCCCCAGTCCGGGTGTCTCATCACCTTCCAGAAGCTCAATGGGGTTAGAGCTGCCTTTGACCAACACTGTGATGTCATTGATGGTGAAGAAGATGGGATCACCAAAGACCCAGGGGAAGACGTAGCAGCAGTAGCAGGACCCACTGAGGCTGCTGGTGCCAGCTGCTGGGTCACTTACTCTAAGAGATCGCCCAGGCCTTTGGAGGCCAGCAGCTGCACACTAACTGGCCAGAGTGTAGAGTGCAGGTCTGCTGTGGACTTGTGTGGTTAGCAGGGGTAGCAAGGAGTGTGTGTGTGTGTGTGGGGGGGGTAGGTGAGAGTGGGGGGGCACTCTCTTATTCTCATAGAAGAGGTTTTAGCATAGGTTTTCTTCTCACTTCCACCCCACCTCATTATCTCCAAGCCCCCTTCTCTCCTCACCTATCATCATGAAAGAGTCTCCAGATTACTTGATCATGCTTTTTGGAATCACTGCTGGGGTCACTTGTGGGGTCAAGCTGGGCTCCAGTAAGAAGGAACTGATAGTGCTGTTATGGAAAATGTGGACCTGGCTAAGAACGAGTACACAAAATAACTAGCACAAAATACTAGTTAGACTGGATATATTGGAACTGATGGAAAAGAGACTAAGATCCTTATGAAAAGCCTATGCTCCCAGCAGTGGGTGGACCCAGCCCTGAGACAATTTAACCAGTCAGTGAACAATGAAGTCAACACCTGGATGGGAACTCTCCTTCAAGTCTCTATACTGTTAGGCAACTTCATATCAGGCAAATCCCACATCTGAAGGCTTCCAAGAAGAATACATTATTGCCTGAATCCTTTTTTTTTTAGCCTAATTTTTAAAATTTTATTTAAATTCATATTAGTTAACATATAGTGTAATAATGATTTCAGGAATAGAATTTTGGGATTCATCACTTACATAAAACACCTAATGCTCATCCCATCAATTGCCTTCCTTAATGCCCATGACCTATTTAGCCCATCCCCCCACCCAATACCCCTCCAGGCACTCTTAGTTTGTTCTCTGCATTTAAGAGTCACTTATGGTTTGCCTCCTTCTCTGTTTTTAACTTATTTTTCTTTCTCTTCCCATATATTCATGTTTTGTTTCTTAAATTCCACATATGAGAGAAGAATGTATTACTGCCTGAATACTTATTTTAATATTTGAAGTGAATTCAAGAAATATTACCCTGGTTAATCTGATATTGATAAACAGGATATTGCAGCAATGACACTGTGTTTAAATTTTGAGAATAGGTCGATCTCTCAGTATGGAACCTCTCAAGCTAGATGTGGGCAATATAATTTTAGCAATGATTTCAAAACCCTATCATCACAGATTTTCAGATCCAGAGATAGTAAGTTTCAAATTTGGAAGTGGCACTTGCAGCAAGATGAAGCTTATTGATTATAATACTGTAGTCAGGACTCAAGGTTTACTATGGCAGTCTTCAGATCAAGACATTGTAGGATTCTTTGAATGACTCAATATTGCTGTGGGAGGTATAGCAAATTTGTCTGAATGCCCAGGGTGGAAGGAAGAGAGAAGCCCCAGTCAGGTTTGTAAGTGAGGAGTACAAAGACCTAGTACTACAGAGGCACAAACATCACATGGAGACCCAGTACATTGAGATTACAAAGGAACAGGTGATAATTTTCTTAAATTTGCTGGTGGTACATCCAAAGAAGTAGCCCAATTTCTCTCTGAGGAGAAAGAATTCATCATCTGCATGTGAGTGCTAACATCTGATGACGTGGTGGCATTTTTGGACAGCATTGCCCCCATCAATGGTGGGAGGGGGGAGAAAGGCATCCTCTTTGTTACCTCCTAGATCAGTAGGCCAACAGGAAATGCTTTTGTCCTCTTTGCTCATGAGGGATATACACAGAACACAATAAAGGAGCCAAGGACTTATTAGGTAAAAGATACATTGAACTCTTCAAGAGAATAGCAGCTGAAATTCAGCAGATGATGAATCATTTCTGAGCCCCTCATTCCTCTTCCAATCATTATTCCAGTACTACCTAGGCAGTTTGTACCCCTACAGATGTTAATGACCATATACACCTTTGAAATCTTTCCTGTGCAGCCACAATTGAGGATGTCCTGGACTTTCTTGGGGGGAGTTTTATCCAGATATTCAAGCTCACAGGGTTCGCATGGTATTGAATCATCAGGGTTACCCATGGGTGAAGGTGTCTTTATCCAGATGAAATCTACAGGCATTTGTGGCTGCAAAGAAGTGTCCTAAAAAACTGTGAAGGACACACATGCTAAAGTCTTTCAGTATTCAGCTGAGGAGATAAACTTTGGAATAAGGCACATTTTGTTTCTTCACATTTACTAGTTTATTATATAATAAAATATATGATACAGGATACAGACGAATAGCCAGATGAGCAGGACAGAGTGAGGTCCCGAAGTGTCCCAAGCATAGGGGCTTCTATCCCCATGGAGACGGGCTGTGCCACCCTCCTGGCATGTGAATATGGTCACCAACCCAGAAGCTCTCTTGAACCTCATGCTAATTGAGATTCTTTAATTGAGGCTTCATTACAATTACTTATTATTAATTAATAATTAACTCCATTTGTAGTCCCTCTCCTCTCTTTGTGGAAGTGAAAGGTAGGGCCAAAAGATCTAAGATTCTAGTAATAGGTTAGTCTTTCTCATGACTACCC